TTTTATTTTTTTGGATTTTCTGTTCTTTTTTGGCATTTTTTGCTTCGAAATATATACACCATGAGTGCTTACCAGCGCTTAGATGGCGCCTAAGTTGTGCCTAGGCACTAGGCAATGGCCCAACGCCCGCCACTGCCTAGTGCTTTCTGCAACCTTTACTGCAATTGCTTCACTAGCTAGTGCTGAACTTACTTGATCAACACTTTCCTTGTGCATCTTGTAGCTTATCATGGTATTTTTGAGACCTTTAATTGAAACTGACTTTTCTGTCTTCGTGAAATCTTATATTCCCAATTTATATCAGCCTTTTTGTATTGGTTCATTTGTTTCTCAAATCTCCAAGTAATAATTCCGAACACCCCTTTTTGTATTGGTTTATTAACCTTTGCTTCATTTGGTGGAAGTTTCAATTTTCCTTTTATTTCCATAATGAAGATTCATGATAAACCAATATAAAGGACGCAAAACATGAAGTTATTGACATGGTGAACAACCAAAGTTGGGACAAACTAAATATCTAAGAGGCTCTTAACTGAAGTTTAATCATGCCAATTAAACAAAAAAGTAGGTCCATCCATGGTTTCATTGTCTTGGTTGTGGACATGAGGAACATTTTTTGGCCTGCAGGTTGGATATCACCCAGACTTTGACGGTTCTAGATGTTTGTTCATAGTTCGAAAAGATGGAGAGTTGGTTGACTTTTCTTATTGGAAATGCCTTAAAGGCATGATCAGGAAGAACTATCCACTGTATGCTGACAGCTTCATTCTCAGGCATTTCCGCAGAAGGAGACGGTGAATGAGGGTAATAACTTGAACCCATAGACAGCCTCGTATTATTTTATTATGAGGAATCTGAATTTAATGCCATTTTTTATTAGCTTGAATAGGATAGCAAACCCTTGTTTGCCCTCTTCTTCTTTTCTCCCTTACTTCCTCCTGCAAAACATTTCCCTACCTTATATGCTCGCTGATTTTTCTTTCTTTTTTTTTTTTTGGGGGGTGTTAGGGGGACGGATCCCGCTTATCACTTTGGGCGTATTGCTTTGGGCGCTAGGGTCTATTGTTTATTTGTTCCAGGGGGAAGCCTCCCCAGGGCTCGAACCCTAGATCTCCCTTAAGAGACTTTGCGGGTGACCTCTGCTCAAGTGGTACCAGGGTCACCCGGCCTTCTTGTTAGGGGGACGGATCCTGCCTATCGCTTTGTGCGTATTGCCTTGGGCGCTAGGCCTATTGTTTATTTGTTCCCTGGGGGGATGCCTCCCTAGGAGTCGAACCCGAAGTCTCCCTTAAGAGACTTTCATGGGTGACCCTGGTACCACTTGAGCTGATCCCTAGCGCCCAAGGCAATACACCTAAAGCACTAGGCGGGATCCATCCTCCCTAACAGGGGGTGGGGGAGGGGGGTACAGTGGAAAGTTAGGCATTAGCATGCTTGACCTTTAAAGGGCTTTGAATCCCTAACCTTGACGCCATAAGGTTCTAAAGTTACTTGGCACCAACCTGGTTGAGCTGTTGTTAGTCTCTACACTTGCTAGATAGAACTAAAGCTACCGCCCTCTCTCCGCTTTGATATATGTAGTGAATATGTTTAAAACTTTTTAAGAAATTTCTCTATCACTTGGAACCAAAGGAGCAAAGATTTGTTACATTGCCAGCTTGGTGGGCTAATTTGCTTTCAGAACTGTATTATCTTCCACCCCTTTCAAATTTATATGTGCATTTCGTTCTTTCATATATTTCAGATGCAGTTTTTGGTTTGTCTGCCTTTAACGGAGATGATATTTGAAAGATGCAGATATCAAATTAAGCTGGAAAGTGGAGTGGCTTTTACTGGGGTATTCTTGTAGAACAGAACTT